TGCTCTGCTGTGCTCTGCTCTTGAAGCCTGCTCCACCTACCTTTCCACCTACCTAGAGAACCTCACCTGGGCTCCCAGCTCGAGCAGAAAAATACCGGCCACTTTCTGGGAGCGCAGGAGGTGGGATCCTCATGGCACAGAGTGCTTTTGAAGCCCTCAGGGGCACATGCCTTCCTCCTCTTCCAGTCTCCTGGGCAGCAGCCCAGCACCCCCAAAATCAGATCCAGCGGGATTTAGAGCAATGCATGGGGAACATTTCTTCCCAGTTACTGCAGTGTAAGGATGCCGCACCAAGAGGGAGACCAGAGGCCAGTATCGGACTGGAGGGAGCATCACAGAAGCTTTTGAGTGTCTTCCTGGGGTATTTAATTCTGACATTTCCCATTGTACATGCCACTTTTGTAGTCAGAAAGTAGTGTTTTAAAATGGGAGAGAGTTGGCCAGGTGTGGTGGCTCATGCCTGTAATCCCAGCACTTTGGGAGGCTGAGGTGGGTGGATCGCTTGAGACCAGGAGTTTAAGACCAGCCTGGCCAATATGGTGAAACCCCGTCTCTACTAAAAATACAAAAATTAGCTGGGCGTGGTGGTATGCGCCTATAATCCCAGCTACTCGGGAGGCTGAGGCAGGAGAATCACTTGAACCTGGGAGGTGGAGGCTGCAGTGAGCTAAGATTGCGCCACTGCACTCCAGCCTGGGCAACAGAGTGAGACTCTGCCTCAAAAAAAATTAATAAAATAAAATAGGAGAAAGGACATGCACATCTAAGACGAGGTGCCAAGCACAGTCCCCGCCCAGTGGGCTCACTGGGTTCCCATCCAGCTTTCTCCCAGGTGCATCCAGGTGGAGCTGAGTAGAGCCCACCTGCCAACATCCTCACCTGGCCCTGAGCTCCGGGGGATGCAGGGTCTCCTACAAGGCTGTGTCTGGAAAAGCCCAAAGCCTGCTTGTTGATTTTGCAGGGGAGGAAGCAGGGACACAAGGTCTCCACAGCCCCCATGAGATTCCCCACTTCCCACACAGGAGCTCAGAGCCAGTGTGAGAATGGGGCCCGTTCTCGGGGCCTTCCTGCTCTCCCCGGGTCCTTCCTTGCGAACGACCTGGTCCGTGCAGCTCCTTCAAACCTCTGGGGTTGAACAAGCATAGGGGCCAGGGCTCCAAGAGGCAGGAGAAGGGTCAGGGTGGCACGGGGATCCCACCCAGGGTGGCCAACTTTGCCCACTTTACCCAGGCTTTCCTGATTTTAGCACTGAAAGTCCTGTGTGCTTGGAAAGCCCTCATTTTCGGGCAAATTGGAACAGTGGTCACTCTGGTTCTACAGCAGGAGACTTGCTTGGTTGGGTGGCAGGAGGGCCTCCCCCTCAGCATCACTGGATGGGTGGTGCAGGGTGGCTGGGCACCGGGGATGGTCTGGTCAACGAGATGACCATGGCTCAGGGGGCAGGGGCTGGCTGGGTGTGGTTTAGGGGCATGAGACACTGTGGGGAAAAGAAAGAAAGATCAGACTGTTACTGTGTCTATATAGAAAGAAGTAGACATAAGAGACTCCATTTTGTTCTGTATTTGAGATGCTGTTAGTCTGTGACCCTACCCCCAACCTTGTCCTTGCAAGAGCCATGTGCTGTGGTGACTCAAGGTTTAACGGATTTTGGGCTGTGCAGGGTGTGCTTTGTTAAACAAGTGCCTGAAGGCAGTATGCTGTGAAAAGTCATCACCATTCTCTTAATCTCAAGTACCCAGGGACACATACACTGCGGAAGGTCGCAGGGACCTCTGCCTAGGAAAGCTAGGTATTGTCCAAGGTTTCTCCCCATGTGATAGTCTGAAATATGGCCTCATGGGAAGGGAAAGACCTGATTGTCCCCCAGCCTGACACCTGTGAAGGGCCTGTGCTGAGGAGGACGAGTATAAGAAGAAAGAAGGCCTCTTGGCAGTTGAGATAGAGAAAAGCATCTGTCTCCTGCCCGTCCCTGGGCAATGGAACATCTCGGTATAAAACCCGACTGCATGTTCTGTTTACTGAGAAAGGAGAAAACCGCCTTAGGGCTGAAGGTGGGACGTGCTAGCGGCAATGCTGCTCTTTATGCACTAAAAAGGTTTATGGAGATGTTTACATATGCATATCAAGGCACAGCACTTTTCCTTAAACTTATTCATGTCACGGCTGGGCGCGGTGGCTCACGCTTGTAATCCCAGAACTTTGGGAGGCCGAGGTGGGCGGATCATGAGGTTAGGAAATCGAGACCATCCTGGCAAACACGGTGAAAAACCCCGTCTCTACTAAAAATACAAAAAATTAGCCGGCCGTGGTGGCAGGCGCCTGTAGTCCCAGCTACTTGGGAGGCTGAGACAGGAGAATGGCGTAAACCCGGGAGGCGGAGCTTGCAGTGAGCCGAGATCCGGCCACTGCACTCCAGCCTGGGCGATGAGCAAGACTCCATCTCAAAAAAAAAAAAACTTACTCATGTCACAGAGATCTTTATTCATATGTCTTACTGCTGACCTTCTCCCTACGATGATCCTATTATCCTGACACTTCCCTTTTTCTAAGATGGTAAAGATAATGATCAATAAATACTGAGGAAACTCAGAGACCGGTGCCGGCGCGGGTCCTCTGTATGCCGAGCGCCGGTCCCCTGGGCCCACTTTTTCCTTCTCTATACTTTGTCTCTGTGTCTCATTTCTTTTCTCAAGTCTCATTCCACCTAACGAGAAACGCCCACAGGTGTGGAGGGGCAGGCCACCCCTTCAAGACGCCTGGGAGGATCATGCTGGCCAAGTGGGGAGGAACTGGAGTTCTGAGGCCAGGGCTTGGAGAGGGTGGTCGGCCCCAAAGAGGGCAGCCATTGGACAGGCTCCCTATGTGCAAGGATGGACAATGGGGGTGAAAATGGAGACACTTCAGTCTGTAGGAAGAGGGCTTCAAGGCAGAGGGACTGCAAGGAGCTTCAGATGGGGGATGGGCAAAGTCATCACAGCTGGAAGGGCCTTAGTGATTTAGCTCCTTACCTTAATGACATCTGCAAAGACCCTCTTTTGGAATCAGGCTGCAGGCTGGCACCCGCCCACAGGGGCTGACCTGACTCTCAACCTGCCTGTGCTCCTGGCAGACACCGGCCCATGGCACAGAGGCTCCACTGGGCCAATGCCCATCAGTTCATTCAGAGAGGAACCTGTCTGCTTTCTCCAAAACATGCAGAAGTCAGGTGCCTGGCAGAAGAGCCAGGGGGTGCCCAGAGAGGCTGAGACAACCCCAAGTTTTGGTGGCACAGTCAGCCTGGAACCCAGACCTTTCGAGTCCCAAATTAGGACTTTCCCACTCACCACTCCGCTGCCCATGTTGTCCTGGAGGCCCTGAAACGGGGGGGCGGAAGGAGATGTAGGGGGTCCAACAGTGTCTCCTACCTCACCAAATTTACATCCATTCAGACCTTAGAATGTGACCTGATTTCAAAAGAGCGTCTTTGCAGATGTCATGAAGGCGAGGATCTAAATGAGATCGAACTGAATCAAGGTGGGCCCTAAGTCCTGGAAGAGTGCCCTCCAGGACAGAGAGAAGGCTGTGTGAAGACAGACGCAGAGATGGGAGTGAAGCGGCCACCAGGAGCTGGGGAAGGAGAGAAGATCCTCCCCCAGAACCTTTGGAGGGAGTGAGGCCCTGGGACACCTGGATCTCAGACCTCTATCCTCTAGAACTGTGAGAATAAATTTCTGCTGATTTCAGCCCTGCTGCATGGTTGTCTGTTAAGGCAGCTGCAGGGCACTAATATATGTGGGAGAAGGGATCTGGGTGAGGCCCCTTCTGCACACGCCAAGGGCATCCGGACCAGAGCTCCCTGCTGAACCTTACTTTCTAAGCTCACATGCAAAGAAAAGCTCACTCAGCCAATTCTAATCTATTTGGAGTCAAGTTCTCTTGGAATGAGTTAGGTAGGCATAAAACAACTGTCAAATACTGACCAGCCCAGAGTTCAATCTAATATAAACTTCCGAAAGAAAAACTTATTTTCAGCCAGCCATAGTGGCTCACACCTATAATCCCAGCTCTTCGGGGGGCCAAAGCAGGAGGATCACCTGAGGCCAGGAATTTGAGATCAGCCTGGGCAACATAGTGAGATCCCATCTTTACAAAAAATGAAAAAGTGAGCCAGGTGTGGTGGTACAAGCCTGTGGTCCCAGCTACTCAGGAGGATCGCTTGAGCCCAGAAGGTAGAGGCTGCAGTGAGCTGTGATCGTGCCACTGCACTCCAGCCTGGGTTACAGAGCAAGACCCTGTCTCAAAAAATAAAACAGAAAAACTTTTTCAAGGATACATTAACTAGAAGCAGCTCACAGCACCCCCTGTGGACACCCTTCAGATCCCCCACTTTAATGAAAGTGTTCAGATCTGCTATTCGCTTTTCAGTCATCTCCGCTGATGAGTGCTTCTCAGACTCTGGGAACCTTTACCTCAAGTAGATTAAACAACCCCCCAGCAACCGCCTTGATGCTATCCTCACTCTTCACAGTGCTCTGAAATTATAAGTTCTCAGGGAGTTTATTAGTTTTAAATCTTGGGAGTCTGAATTCAAGATCTAACCTGGCCTGACCTTTTTTTTTTTTTTTTTTTTTGAGATGGTGTCTTGCTCTGTCGCCCAGGCTGGAGTGCAGTGGCATGATCTTGGCTCACTGCAACCTCTACCTCCAGGGTTCAAGTGATTCTTCTGCCTCAGCCTCCCAAGTAGCTGGGATTACAGGCACATACCACCATGCACAGCTAAGTTTTGTATTTTTAGTAGAGACAGGGTTTCACCATATTGGCCAGGCTGGTCTCAAACTCCTCACCTTGTGATTCACCTGCCTCAGCCTCCCAAAGTGCTGGATTACAGGCGTGAGCCACTGCGCCTGCCCTACCTTTTCTTGCCCACGCTTCTCGTCCACCCGCAGCTGACCTGAACCTGTCCCGAGGCCCAAAGAACTGCACCCCAGGAGCAGAAAAAACATTGTCACTCAGGAGCCTTCTGGGTTTCTGCATTTGAAACATTTATTTCAGGAAATACATTTTCAACACTTTGTCATTTATACAAAAAGAGACAAATTTCTTGGGAGGCACGTAGCAAAAGGCCATTGAGGAACAGAGCCTGATGAAACGAACAATGTCTCAAAGTCTGGTTACAGAGAAGGAAAGTGAAGCGTCTCTAGGCTGGGATGCTGCTGCCCACCCCCCACCCCACCCTGCCACCGAGTGACGCTGAGGCTGGGCAGGCCACACGGCCTGGGCTCTGGCGCTGGCCACTCATTTCCTTCAAAATCTTGGTTTTGGCAAAAACACGGCGAGTTGGCAAGTAAACTGTCCCGCCGATGGAGGTGGTGAGGGGTCCTTCCCCTTTTGGGTGGGGAGGGAGTCAGACATCCAATGCCCGGATTTCCATGCACACACATACACACACATACTCACACACACTTACACGCACGCTCCCTCCCGTTGCCCTTCTCCTGGCTACAAGCAGCCAGCCCGGGGCCTGCAGATGCCCCTGGTGATGTGTCTACCCGTGTGGAGTCTCATCAGGCCCCTCTTTCTCCCCAGAGTAAGACAGGGAACAGGAAGCAGGAAAGGACTTTGGTCATCTGTGCCCTGCAAAGGCAGGCCCCACGGGTCCTGTTGTGGGGACGGAGGGTGAGGGGCCGGGCCATGTTGCCATGAAACCTCGCTCTTCAGCTCACTGTGGACTGTGCACCCCTAACACCCAGTCTCTTCTTCCTAGGGGTTCGTTACCATGGGCCCTGAGGGGAGGGGCCCAGGCATGGGTAGGACAACAGAGTCAGGCTCGCCTGGCCTCCCACCTCCCCAGGTCACAGAGTCAGCAAGGCCTGGGCCAGGAGGGGTGAGTGGCGGGGGTGGTTGGCTGGGCATTAATGTAACCACAGCCCAGTCTTGGGCCAAACCCAGACACTAGACAGACAGACGGACACACACACACGTGGACACACACACACACACTTCCCTGGTCACTTGGGCAGGGCAACCACCGGGCAGCTCAGGCCACTCTGACCAGCCTAAGCCACGGCCCACACATGCCCCCGCCAGCCTTCCTTCTGGCACCTTCCATGGCTCCCTCCCTCAGCTCCTCCACCAGACTCACTTGCTTGGACCTTTTCAAAACTGGGGGATGAGGGGGTGGGGGTCATCTTTCCTTCCTTTTTATCCTCAATCACATCCCAGCGCATCAGCAGCCCCTGCAGCCCTGTGGGAGGGGTGGCATGAGAGGGGGATGGCAGGGAGATGAAGACGCCTCCCTCATTCCAGCCTGTCTCCGCAGAGCCGCCTGCGGATGGCTGAGATAAAGGCACTTTCTGCTCCAGGACGGGCGGCTGCCACGGGGCTTGGCAGGGGACCCTGGGATTTTCTACCCTTAGGAGCAGGGCAGTGGTGGGGGCTGAGTGACGGCCACGCCACGTGGTGGGCGGGGGTCCAGGTGCCCCTGATGGGCTCCATTCTCCCCTGGGCTCTGACACACTCCAGGGGACAGGGCCGACGGGGATGGAGGGGAGCATCAGCCCACCCAGCTTCTCGGCACATGTGAGGCCTGGCCCCAACCCCGAGGCCCCTGGCACTGAGAAGCCCACATGGACGGATGATCTGCACACCGAAGCTGCTCTTCTGAGCCCTCGGGGAGCCAGGCCTGGGGACGGAGGGTCACGTCAATTCAGTGGGTGCTCTCACCCCTGCTTCTGGCTCGAGTGCAGCCTCCCCACAACCTTGGGGAAGCTGCGGGCTCATCACTGACTCACTCAGAGGGAGGCCCCTTCCCTTGTTTCCTGGCAGCATGTCGAAGGGGTGGGGAATGATGACAAATGGAGAAAATCATATAAAATAAAATGGGGCAGTGGGAGGGCCTGGGGGGGACGGAAAAGACTTGGGGGCAGGATCCCGGGGGTGGGCAAGGTGGTGTCTACATCTCCGGGGCTTCTGGCTCCTTCTCCTCCACGCCGTTGGCCATGGCGCTGCTGCCCTCATTGAGGCGCTTCACGCGGTAGGCCTCGAAGTGGATGCTGCTGGTGATATCCTTGATGTTCTGCATGTGTGTCCTGGTGGGGGGGCAGGCGGGTCCGTGAGGTGGGGGGCGGGGGGAGCGGGGCAGGGCCCCTGCTTAGCCTGCCTCAGACTCAGGCCCGCCTGCCCCCCCGCCACTCCCCATTCCCCCTGCTTGGCTCCCCATGGGGTCCTCCAGGCCCACCACGTTGGACCAGATCTGGTACACGTTTGGGGGGAAGGGTCAGTCCCCCTGGTAAGCCCAGACTCGGTCAGGACACACATATTCCAATGCATGTGTCTCCCTCTGGGTCCACCCTGTGGTTGGTCCAGGGCCCAGGGACAGTGCACAGACTCAGAGGGACAGGGCTGGAGCGTGCTTGCTCCAGGCCGGTGTCCAGGGTGCTGGCAGGGAGGAGGCAGTGGGTGACAGCCGGCCTCCAGGGCTATGGCCTGTGCAGGCAGGTGGCCTGTGGCAAAGGGCTGAGTTGCCCTTGTCCCCAGGAAAAAAAAAGTCCTGAACTCAGATTTTCATTCCTCTGCAGCTCAGGAGGAACATTTTGGAGGGAAGTTGGAAAGCCCAGTCTCCCCACGATGGCAGAACGGCTCCCGGAATCCCCCCACCTCTGTCCTTGCCAACCTGGAGGCCCCTCCTCTTGATAACATTCCCATCATTTGTGCCACCTGCTTGCTGAGGAAGAACTGAGGAGCCCCTGGCACTCCGGCAGGAGGCCCCCAACCCCGTTCACCTGCCCAGGCCAGGGCTCACACTCCAGGGACCACCCATCTGGCACCCTAACGGGGCTTCCCCTCCTTGCCCAGACTCAAGGGAACCAAGAAGCCTCAGCCAGGTGAAAGGGGTAGGGGTCAGAGGCCACTGGGGTCAGAGCTGGAGTCATCCCATGCTGCCAACAGGGCCTACCGTGAGGCCTCACTGGGCCCTTAGTGGTCACCGGGCAGCTCTAACGGGCCGGGCCACGGTGGACCAAAGCTCAGCCTTCCCATCCAGCCAACTTTGCGGGGATTAAAAAAGATCTTCACTGCTTGCTTCATTTCCCAGTGGGTTTTCTTTTTAGAAGACGGGCTTCCAAGATCTTCCCAAGGGCAGGGCAGGCAGGTGGCAGGGCGTGCCCACTCTGCCCAGGGCTTCAGCCCCACACCCTCTGCTCCCACCTGCTGTAGGGCCTCTTAGGGATGAGCCGTCAGCCCCAGCCAAGCCCGCTGTCTCTCACCTGATGAGAAGGTCCCGCAGGTAGGCAAACTCACAGTGTGTGGTGTTTTCAACTAGGAGAGGAGACAGGAGGGGCTTTAATGTCCTGGTGGAGAAGCTCTGCCCGGACCCCGCCTCTCTCCCCCTGCCCAGCAATGCTAGTGCCAAGAGCAGAGCCCAAGGGCCGCCCCAGGGGCAGGAAGGCAGGGGAACCGCCTGCTCTGCGGCTGAGTATAGGACACCTGGCACTGCTCTCAGTCTGGGGGATACTGGGGTGCCCAATATCAGCTCCTGCTCCTGGACAGCTCAGCTCCTGCCCTCCAGAAAGTTCCTGGCTAATGGGAGATGGCACAGTGACCAGGCCAGATAGGAGCATGGGAGGAAGCCACAGTGGAGAAGCCAGGGCGTTGGTTCCCTGCAGGCAGAGCAGGACGTCCCAGCAGAGGCCTGAAGACAGGAAGGGGGCTGGGCTGCTGGGAATGGGATGAGGCAGGAATCAGAGCTGGGATCTTAAAGAAAACCTGCGGCCCACAGGATGCTACCTACACAGCCCCGTCCACCTTGCCTGCGCTCAGAGCACACACACACAGGGACAACACACACAGGGGCTATGTACTGTGGACGACCATTCACAAGCTCAAGAATCAGCAATGCTAAACATTGCTCAGGGACACGTGTACTTCATACAACACACACAAGCCCAAGCTTGGGACAGTGGCCACTTCTCAGGGACGAGGAAAGACTGGGCAGGAGACCATGGGCGCCCACGAGTGCCCTCGGGCTCGAGCTGGTGGCCATCTCAGAGTGGTCATTTTATTGCTGTGCTTCATAACTCCTATGTGAACACACAGTGCCTGGCACGTATAACTGTTATAACAGAAGGTCTTTTAACGAAGAAGGCAGTGAACGGCATCACTGGAGGTGGGGAGCCAGGCAGGGAAGGCAAATAAAAAGACACCCGGTGCCCTCCTGTGTGATGAATTTCATCTTCACACACCTGCAAGTGTCTCTCATGATTCCTTTGTTATCCCCATTATCTTATGAAAATGGGGCATAGAGGCTGGGTGCTGTGGCTCACGTCTGCAATCCCAGAACTTTGGGAGGCCAAGGCAGTGGATCACAAGGTCAGGAGTTCGAGACCAGCCTGGCCAACATGATGAAACCTAGTCTCTGCTAAAAATACAAAAATTAGCCGGGTCTGGTAGCAGGTGCCTGTAATCTCGGCTACTTGGGAGGCTAAAGCAGGAGAATCACTGGAACCCAGGAGGCGGAGGTTGCGGTGAGCCAAGATCGCGCCACGGCACTCTAGCCTGGGCAACAGAGCGAAACTTCGTTGAAAAAAAAAAAAAAAGAAAATGGGGTATAGAGGTATAGAGAATGCAAGAACTGTGTCTGTCTGAGTTCCACAGCTCGTAAGGCTGGAGCGGGATTCAGGACCCATACACCCAGCTCCAGGCTGCCCCATCACAGAGCCATATGGCTTTTCCCCAAGTTAAAAATGTCTGGTTTTCACTTGGTAGGCCAGCAGGAAGGGCCGGGGCCTCCACCTTGCCCAGTCCTCAAGTGCTCTCAGTGCTACACCAGTTGCCTTTGCCTAGACCCTTCCTTCCATGGCCCTGTGTAGGGCGGTGTCCACGCTAGAACCTCCTGCAGACTGACCAGCAGCATTCTTATCTAACACTGAGGGGCAGGAAGAATGGAGCTCTCAGGCTGGAGTTGCAGCGTGTGATCACTGCTCCCTGGCTCGGGCAAGTTACTCTCATTCCCTCAGTTTCCTCATCCATAAAATGTGGATAATAACGTCACCCGCCTCTCAGGGACATGAGGATTAAATGAGTTCACGGCGTGATTAATTACACCCCACATTTCTATTGACAATATTTGGGGTGGTTTCTAAGGATGGCAAAGATACAGCATCTTGTGCTGTTCACCAAGTGGGAGGCAAGAATGAGGCAGAGCCCTTACTAGCCCGGGTGTCAGGTCAGCTAGGAACTCACGGGGCCCCGATATAAAAACCCATCAGTGTTGAAGGCACATTTCCAGGGTCCTCATATAAGACTGCTGGAATGTGGGCCCCGCCACCTCACAACTGTCCTGACAGGTTCCAGACTGTTCCTCGGCTGGAGCCAGTGGTGGGCAACAATGCACAGGTCGGAGAGGTGCAGGGACCCCAGCCTCCTGCATTTCCTGACAGCTTCCGTCACCGGCCACCTGCAGTACCCAAGGCTGGCCACCAGCGTGCAGCAGAGGCACGCCCATAGCAAAGCAGCCAGCCCATCTCAGGCCCATCCATCCCGAGCTCTCCTAAACCTGTCTTCCATAAAAAGGTTCCTAAACAGCAGGAATTATTTGGGCAGAGAGGAAGAGAGGAACTGCAGGCAGAGGGGCCAAGGCGAGGCAACCCAGCCTGACATCACAGGCGGATACTGGAAAACACCCAGGCCGCACCCTGCTGGGCAGCTCCTGCAGGGTAGGTGGGGCAGGCTCGGTGGTAGGGGAGCAGGGCAGACAGGAGAAAAGGCCCGCTTGCCTCTCCACACCCTCCTCCAGGCATGAACTCCCATCTCGAGGGCATCTGGTGCAGGGCTGGAGCTGTGGATTCTAGAGCTGCCTCCTGTTCTGGGTCCCTTGGCAGGTTTTCTGCTCACAGCACCTCCTCAACTCTGCAAGGAGGGTGGGTGCGGGGAGCTCTTGGCATGAAGTGAGATAACTCATTGAAGCCAGAGGCACAGGAGCGTTTGATGCCTCCTGATAATTGTCATTATAACCATTTTCTTAGAGCAACAGCTTCCCAAAAAGCTCTCGTGGTCTTTGGGACAGTGTCTCAACTCACTAAAATCTTGGCACACTGCACCCACTTTGTGGATGATGAAAACTGAGGCCCTGGAAGATTAAGAGACTTGTGCTTCCTGCTGTACTGGGCCTTTCAGACAAGTGCTCTCCACAACAAAGTGGCTTTTCCTGCTCCATTTCCCTCTGCACCTTCCCCTCTTCCATTCTAATGAGAAAGGAAGCGGCAGAGAGAGGAAAGGGCCCATCCCTCCAGGGGTGTCACCACCAAGAGGGTGTTGAATTGTGGCCCCCCACCCGGGGCTCCCATACATTCAAAGATATGGTCAAGGTCCAGGCCTTGGTACCCATGATTGTGACCTGACTTGGAAAATGTCTTTCTTCAAAGATTCATTAAGGATCTCCAGATGGGATCATCCACTTAGTCTAGGCCCTAAGTCCGAAGGCATCCTTATAACAAGGAGGAAAGAGGCTGGGCTCGGTGGCTCACGCCTGTAATCCCAGCACTTTGGGAGGCCAAAGTAGGCAGATCACCTGAGGTCAGGAGTTTAAGACCAGCCTGGCCAACATGGTGAAACCCTGTCTCTACTAAAAATATAAAAATTAAGTCAGGTGTGGTGGTACATGCCTGTAATCCCAGATACTCGGGAGGCTGAGGCAGGAGAATTACTTGA